GAATTTAAGAAAGTATCGATCTGCTCTTTTTACTCCCCACTAAAACTACGATAAACAGGATCTTAGTTCTCATACCTTAGTTTTGACTCCCTGCCTTATAAATACAGATTTAATTGTCATTCTGTCGATGACTTTTTAAAATGAGTGTTAGCTGTGTTTTTAGGCCACTTTTGAAGTTCTTATTTTTCTGCAGCGAAATATGAAATAATGAAACTTTGTTTCTTTTGTGGAATCGAATTAATTTCTAAGAATTTTAGGTTTATGAGAGACACATTCTTAACATAAAACTTAGTTTTGCATTGCCTTAAAACAGTCAATTTAAAATATTATAAGTATGTACCAGAAATTATGGGGGGATGGCAAGGAAGTCTAAAGAATTATCTAACTTAGCATAAGTTAGACTCTTAACTGAATTAAAGCTTCTAAATTCTTGATGGAAAAAACTTAGTATTTTGCACTGAGGTATGATTAGATTGATAATTACAAAATTTTAAATAAATATTTTATTAGATTAGTGCCTAAAATAGATTTGTCTCTGACAATTTGTAAGATAGTAAGTACCATGTACCTAGGGTGAAAGGCCAAGGAAATAGGACCACGAGAAGTGTTTTGTTTATACAGGGAAATTTTGGATAATCTATATGAGCAGTTAAAGACGGGGAATTCTCGGGGTAGCTCCATAGTGTAGTGGTTAGCATGTCTGCTTTCCACGCAGAAGGTCCTGGGTTCACGCCCCAGGTGGAGCCACGGACCATACCCCGGGTGCGCCAGGCCCCCGGTGCGTGTGCGCACGCGAATGCGTGGGGGGAGACGCCCCGCCTTCAGAGGTCTAGTTCTTAAGGGGCGACGGCAGCATCCATAGGTCGGGGGTGGAAGTGGAGTGGGAGGAATTAAAGGGGGGCAAAAAAGACTTGGAATTCCACTTAAATAGGTACACCTCACTGATTTTCCTTGGTTTAGAAAAACATTGTGGCTTGTCTTGTAAAAATTATTGTTCAGTGTTTCTTTTTCTTTAAAGGAATTTAACATGGTTCCTTATTAAATAGAAAAGACATTTCAGGAGCATAGCTTTAATTACTTATATGTTGAATATTTTATATTACAAAGATAAATGGTCAGTGATAGTTTTACTGGAATAGTTTGACCAAATTCCTATTGTGTGTTCTTCTCTCCTTTTTATTGCATCTTCCCACCCCTAAGTAACTGGCATGGTTAGTAACAAGTCTTGGAAAAAAAGAATTTACTAAATCATAACTGACAGGAGGTTTAACTTCAATTTTGTGTGCTCGGAAAACTTTAGAAGGTTTTGTTGAGCATTAAGTCCTTCTCCGGAGGGAACGAGCACATGTTATGAGACAGGCTACAAGGGCAAACGGAGGGGCCGTCGGGCGGTGGGGAGGGTGCTTCAGGAAAAGCAAGGTCAGGGGTAGCCAGGAACAAGGGCTCTGATCTGTGTGTGTCCTTTCTCTCTTTTTAGAAGGCCTAAGAGATTTTTAAAATGCTGCCTTTTTTGCCTAAATTCTAAATATAGACCATAATCTTTTTTTTGAACGTAATCCTTATGTTTAAAAGAATTCAAGAGTAGACAGAACAGTTGACAAAATTTTATGTATTTTAGCAAGTGAATCAGATTGATAATGTTATTAATAATGTTATTGACAAGAAACTTACGCGTTTAAATTTGAAAAGCGAGATGTCAGGCAGGTTGTCCTATTTTCAACTATATTAAATCAAGGCATTTCTTAGAAGTAATCTTTAAAATAGATCATAGATAGAGACAATGGTTGTGTTTACCTACAGTTTCTAGAACGAAGTGTATTCCTGTTTGTAAAATCAGTAAGATATTTTGGAAAACATGGTAAATTTTTTTTGGCAACATTATGCCTAAATAACTAGAATAGGATCTTTCTCTTAAACCTGTTAGCTAACTATACCTAAGACACGATATGTTTCGAATAGCCATATTAGTATGACTACGTTAGAAAAGTGGTCCTACTGTGGGCTGCCAGTGGTAGTCATAGTCTTTGTTGTTGTTATTGTTATAATAGACCTTTTCAAGAAATTTTAGATTCATAGCAAAATTGAGCCATTTTTTTTATACCCATCAGATATCACGGTGGTATTTGTTAAAAGGTGTCTATTTCTACTGTTAATTTCACTATATACAAAATGTATTTTGCATTATTTTTGCTTTTTTATAATTGTTCTTTTTCAAAGTATTACCATTTGTACTGAATATAATATATGTAATTTCATTATGAAAATTTAAATAATTAACTGAAGGGAAATAGCAATGAGTTTTTCTGGTATACTCATCGAGGAGCAGCATTTTTGGGCCTTTTCATGTGTATCTTGTGATTTATTCTGTATTTACTCTTTTGGGGACTGAGAACTTTTATTTATATATTTCACGTGTTGGCAGCTTCAAGCAGGATAAGAATGTGTAAGTCTATTTTGAAAAAGCTGTGACGGGAATGTTACACATACACGTGACAAAGATGTATGTATGTTATTGGAGCTTGAAGGAGACATCAGTTTTCTTGGAGAGTATATTTATATTCTTCTCTTTGTTGTTATTTAAAGTGACTTCTGTCCTGAGCCTGGGTCTCAAACCCAGCTCTGGTGTGTGTTTGCCACACCGCACTGTACGCATGCAGCTAAAGGGAGGGCGAGGGATTCTCTGCAGCCTGAGGAGGAGTTGAGTGAGGCGGTGTCCACATTCTCAACGTCAAGTCGTTGCAGTTTCTTTTTCCCAGAAAAAAAAGGGGTTTGATATTGCATTTCATAAAATTAACCAGAGTTCTTTCTACTGATGCAGCACAAGAGATGGAAAAAGAAAAAGAAATTCTCTAGTTTTTTTTTTTCCCCCCCTTAATTCTAGGGAAAACACTGACGTGTTCAGAGCTCCCATCCTGATCTTTTCATCAGGGCACCTTTCCTGATCATATGGCTCATCTGTGAATGTAGGGTGGGGGGAGGAGGGAGAGAAAGAAAACTGGAGTTCTCAGAGGATAGAGGAAAAATAAAAGTACAGTCGTTACAGATAAGGAATGCAGACTTCAAAAACAAAGAAAGCCAACAACTCAAACAAACCAAAATTTAAATGTTCAGAATTGGCAGCACAGTTCTCTGCTGACGTGTATTGTGGCAGTCTGAACACCCCCAGAAAATCGTGCCTAAGAGTTTAGAAAAATATACAGTAAAAGTAAACACACACACACAAATAAAAAAATAAAGTGACGTAATTACCAAACCAGAACCACTTCTAAATTCTTAAGTTTAATGTGTATAATATAGTTAACAGACACCCTACAATAGCAGATTTCTCATTTTAAAATAAAAAACTCATCGTGCCTTATTTTTATCCACTGCTAAAAATGGCTCGTCTTTCAACCCTTTACTCTTGGAAGGAAAGGTCAGGATTGTCTTACATTGGCTACTATAAAAAGAATCCAAGACCACAAAGGTTGCACTGTGAATTTCAACAAAATTATTTGTTTCCTATCAGCTTTATGAAAATTTAAAATTTTGGTATATCTTGCACTTTCAGAAAGTTCTCTTAACAGTTTATATAATTGCATTGCATATCGATATTATTTAAGAAAAAAATTTTATAGTCTCTGTATTTTAGTACACCCTATCTGGAGCCTAGATGATACTAGTTAATTACGTGGCTTTGGCATGTACTAGTAATATTTTAGGAATGTCTTCACTTTAATATTTGGGGGAGGAAGTGTCTGCTATCTTTTTTAAACTTTATTCTTTTTTAAACTTTATTGTGGAAAACTTGAAGCATTCACTCAGTAGAGAGAATCGTATAATGAATCCTCATATATTCAACTCCTGTCCTCACTAATTATAATATAATGGCCAGGCTTGTTTTATCCGACACACTCACCGCATTACTTCCCTCGTGACCCCCCAGTGATTTTGAAGGAAGTCCTAGACATCGTGTAATTTCATTGAGAAATATTTCTGTGTGTCTCTCTAAAAGAGATTCACATTATTTGTATTCCCCGTGAGTACTAGCTGGCTTTGTTGTGGAGAGGAAGTTCAAAAGTGCTTGGAAACAGGCCTGCCATCGCAATTTTTGTAGTTAATTTGCATTTGGAAAGATCATGAGTTTATATTACTTGGGTATTTTATCATTATAGTAAATCTCAGAGGATTCGAAATGTTGCCTTTGTAAATAACATCTGAGAAAACACGAATTACCATCATGAATATGTATGAAGTTCTGTGACAGTCCACAGTTTCAGAGCTAACCTGCAATTTATTCTGTTGTTTGTTCATGGCTCCCCCTCTCCGCACACACAAATTTATGTTTCTTTATTTAAATGCAGAGAGACAGCATACGTAGTTTCAGATGAGATTCTGTGGGCCTCTATGTGTGTCAGCGAAAGAGCAGAGAGAAAAGATATGCACGGGGTGCGGGGGCGGTGGGGGTGCTGAGGAGAAGAGGCAGGGCGGAACAGGGCGAACGCCACAGCCCAGGTCCAGGTTGCCGAGGAAGTAACTTCGCTTTCTTCCACTCTGGCTCCCAGCCTCTTCTCTTGGTCTTGACTTTCTCTCTTTTCTTGGTTCTCCCTTTAGTTTATATATCTTTTTCTCCACTCAGCGTTTACTTAGCTTTGCCTGCGACATTTATGGTCAAGTGATTACTGATTCCTTTCTTAGAGGACGTTTTATTATACAGGGGTTGCGAGATAAAACTTTTAAAAATGTAATATTTTAGGATTAATTTGTGCTTTATTTGTTTTTATACAGATTTTTAAAATGCTTATTAAAATTAATTCAAAGAGTCGGATACCTACTTATGGGCTAGATTGAACTTTACTCTGGTTGAGTTATATGATGTATGAAAGCATTAATTTTATACAGACTTTTAGGTTTACTTAGGTGCTCATATTGAAAAATCGTATAATAATTTTTCCTTTTTTGTTCTCTTTTTCTGCCCATCCATTGGATGAAACTGATTCTATTCAAATGTGATTCTGCAGTTCACAAGATTCCTTTGCAGCTCACCTCTGGAGGTAAGTTTATTCACTGACCTTCATACTAGAATTGCTAACTGAACATCACTATTGGTATCTTTTGTTAGGCATTTATTTGATAAACTTAGGAATGATCATTTTGTTGTTACACATACATTCTTCAGTAACAGTAATGAGATGAATACAGACTTTTTTTTTGATAAGAATTCCTGTAAGTGTTTGAGCTGTTAACCTTCATAACAGCTGAAGGTCGTTGCCTCTTTTTAAATATATTTTCTTTTTTAATAAGTAGAGGGAAATCAGATCTTCATTTTAAAGAGCCTTATTGTATCGCCTACTCCCATAACTGTTTAAATCAGCCCTATTCTCTCTTAACTGCCCTGGTGTTAAAAGAGAGCTGGAGAAGTCATAGGCAGAAGCTGCCGTCAAGGAAGTTTTATTTGGTTCGAGAGAGCTTTTTAAAATCCGTGAGTTGATTAGGGAAGAGCGAAGGACTTACCTTTAATTGAGCTTTTCCTGTAATAGGCACTATTCTGGGTGCTTCATTCTCTTTCTCATTTAATCCTCATAATGATTCTGCAATGTAGACCTGAGACTCCAGTGATAAAATTGTGAGATAAAGAAGAACTGTTAGATATTCATAGAACTAGAAATCATCGTGAGCTGCAGTTGATAAGGAATAACTGGGAGGTGGGTGAGGCTTTGAGAAAGGCATAGGAAAGGGGAGGCAGCGGGATGTGTGGAGAGACGATTGGACTTAGAACCGAACACGGGTTTAAGATCTTGTCTTCAGTTATTAACCACATGAGCAAATCACAGCTTCCCTGAGCCTCAGTGTTTTTTAAGATGCATGTAATCATTCTTACCTCTCAAACGAAGCAGTGGACGTGGGAGCAGGTATAAAGTGCAATTCAAATCTTAGTTAATATTTTCTGTTCCCTTAGGCTATACTTCAACCCCACACAGTAATACTCTTTTTCCTGCCTTTCACTTGTCCTTTCTTTTGCCTCTGTTGTTTATGTCACTTTGTGTTCCCTTCCCCGATTCCCAGCTTGTTTGAATCATATCCTTCTTAGGATGAGCCTAGGTACTATGTCCCTGGCGAGACCTTGTCAGACCTCTCCACACAGAGGCATTTGTTCCCTTTATGCTTCTAAACTCTTGTGTGGTTTAGCTCAGCCTGGCACATTGAACACTCCTGGTGGCCAGTTTGAGTGACTGCCAGGGGAAACTGATGGGACTAGAGCGGTTAGTACCTCTCAGATTTGTTGCGGTTTCTTAATATCCAGGATCCAGTGGGAAACAACACTATGTAGTGGAAGGATTCTGGGCTCTGGAATGAGAGATACTTGGGAATGCCATGAACAAGTCATTCATCTTTTGATCAGTCTAAAAATGGAGATAATACAGGGTTATTAAATGAAATGAGGTAATGTGAGGCAAACACTGAGCTCAGTGCCTGTCACACAGAATTTTATAGTTTAGCGTAAAAACAAAAACAAAAAATAAGAAACTCGACAGTATAAATTATATAATCTTTAGTGGATGAAGCACTTTCCAAGCTTAGAAGAAGGAAAAGATGGAAACATTAGATTTCAGTCTGTAAAAAATCCATAATTTGTTCATGAAAACATAGATAGTTAAAAGGCAATTTATGGAAAGTGATAAAAAGATTATCATACTTAGTATAATGATCTCTTAGAATCAATTTTTAAAATGTCCTGTTTTCTTCTGCGTAATACTTGGTTGGATTTTATCAGATAGTTGTCGATAAGATGAAATATAAATGGTAATGAGTACGTTTTAAAAGTTCAACTTTATAAGTAATCAGAGAAATATGGTTTTAAAAAAACAGTGATATACAGTAATATGCCTGTCAGGATATCTTTTTTTTTTTTTTAAGTGAGTGCTTGGGAAGATGTGATGAGATGTTATTAAGCATTATCCTTTATAGAAATCAGTTTGGTCATGCACATTAAAGAGCTTATGTAAATTTATATCTTGTCGAGTAATTCTAGTCTAAGAATCACTGCTAGAGAAACAAAGATGGGGTCAAAACTTGCATACGTATGTTTATTACAGCATTATTTATGATGCAAAAAGTTTATAAATAACCTAAGTGTCCAGCAGTAGGAAACGTCAGATAAATCATGGTACAGCCAGCCATGTGATAGAACACCCTACGGCCATTAAAATGGGGATTATGCGTATATGTTCATGAGTACATACTGATGAACAATACCAGTGAAAAATACTTTTGCTAGATTAAGATAAAAACAGGGTGTAAAATTATGCGCACAGATCTAAATTTAGAAAAAAAATTAAGCACACAGAAATTAGGAGGGAAATACACAAAATGTTAACATTAACTACAGAATGTTACGTCGTCTTACCCTTTGCTTTTCCGCGAGGAGCTACACTGGGGAACAGAGGTCGCGTGGCAGGTTTCTGGCGGTGCTTCCTGTAGCCGGTGTCTGACTGTGACGTGCACTGGGGAAGTCTCCGGTTGATGTATAGTCTAGTCTTCAAAAGAAAAAGGGACTGGCAGGAACTTAGCTAAGAGGTAATGTTGATAATGTTTGAGGCTGGATTCTCATTTTAGCAGAAGCTTAGAGGCATAACCGAGAATAAGGGTTGTGAGCAGAGGCAGTTAGGCTAGATTCTTACCTGCACAGGGAGTCAGTGAGAGGCTGGAGCTTGACGTCCACCTTACTGGGGCAAGTAGCAGTTTGAAGATGTTACTAAACAACAGCAAAGGCTTGTAAATAGTCCCCACTTCCAGATTCTCAAATGTAAGGTCAGTGAGAGAGGAGCCTCTTTCTCTTGCCTCCACATTCCATTCTTAGGATAGTACGTAGTACATAGGAGGCACTGAGTAAATAGTTGTTGAATGAGCAAGTTAGGTGAGGCTGAGGCCGAGAGTAGCAGGCTTCAACCCATAATTTGGCAGGACTCAACTAAAAGCACATAAGGCCGATACTTAGATTGCAGTGTGGTTGATAATCTGGCTTCCCAGCTGGATTGTAGCTGCTCCAGATGAGGACCACTGTCTTCACCTTTGGATTCTCCCAGGTGTAGATAGTGCGTGATGTGTACTCATCATACACCTAGAGTCGTACCAACGTATTGAATTACATCTTGCCACTCTGGTTAATACTGAGAACGTGTGTGTGGAAGATTTAAATCTTTAGTGAAAAGTAGGAGGGAAGGATCATGATCGAAGCTTAGCGGTACTTTCTGTAATTTTCTGTGTGATCCACCTCCTCCACTTAATGATCTGGAATTGTATTTTATGTCGACTAAATCGATCTATTTCTTATTGGACTTATGGATATGGGAGAGTAAAAAAATCAAAATTGAAGGTGATCGGTGTGCTCTTCTTTTCTTGAAGTATTTGAGGAATCCTTGAGGGCTTTCTGTTGATATTTTTCTAGCCTGGAATTTCACAGGGCCACCCGATAGCTTAGAGGCTTCTCCCCGACACCTCCAGCAGCACTGAACTCAAGACTTTGTTCCTTTGTCCCCACACAGAGCCCAAGAGCCAGAGTAAGCCAAGGCAGGTGGGAGTCCCTTAATGTTTAATTTTGCCATTAAACTTAAGTTTTAGCTGGAAAAGGAAAATTACAAATAGAGTTAACTACCCAAACGCCTTCCCTGATTTTGAATGAAAGAAAAATAATTCTAGTTAAGACAATAAAATACATGAAACTTGGAGTTGACAATGAAGGAGACTTTAAATTTCACAAAATTTACTCTTCACAAAAAAAACTATGAAGGAACCGTGTCCCTTTGTTGTAAGTCCTAAACAGTTAACTGCCACATGAATCCAACGAAATTGTCAGGTTATAGTAATTACATCAGTAATTTGATCTGCTGTCACTTGAATAGAGCCATGTGTGGAGTCAGTTACTTCCCTCTGTGGGGGCTGACCCTTTTACATTCCTGTAAGCTGAAGACTAATAGAGCTCATTAAGCTTTATGGGAAGAGAGCTTTTATCACCTCGTCAAGTCGGGCAGCGCATTTCCATTATATTCCTAATTTCGTGGGGCTCTGTAGCCGCTGATGTGCAGTCCCCCGCTAGGACCTCTCCCTCACGCACATTTTTATTGACATTTCTAAGTCTGAATTACATTTTGTGTGGCACCACTTACAGATGTCTTCAATTAAATGTAGGTAAATAAAAGGGATTATATATCAGAGGCTAAAAGATTCTTGAAATTCTCTCCCGAGTCAGACGTTGCCAGCCAATCTCGTGGGGTGCAGTTCCATTGTCATTTTGGAGGCAGAGCGCTACAGGAGAGGCATTTGTAAGAAAAGTTAAACCATGTGTGAATGTAGGTCACTTAGATTTCTCTGCATATCTGTCCTATTTCTTCACTTCGTAGCAATTCATAGCTTCATTAACAGTAATTAAGTTTTTGAGAAGTTAGCACCTGTAGTGTATGGGTACTGTGCTAAGCTCTTTGCTTACATTGTTTTAATTCTCACAGAATGTCTGTTAGGTAGATCATCCCAATTTTATGAAGAAAATTGAGCCTGGAGAGGTGGATTAGTTAAATCCACCTCGATATTCTAGCTACTCGTTCGTATGTGGCACCAGTAACAAGCTAGGAGAGAAGAAATGGAACGATACTGCCAGAAAGACTCCTAGTTACATGCAGTGACTTAGTAACATTTGAAGGAAGATAGAAGTTTGAGAGGCATTTTGTAAACACTAGAGCAAGGTTTCTCAGCTTTGGCACTGTCGACATTTTGAGTTGTGAAATCTTGTTTGTAGGTGCTGTCCTGTGCATTATGTGATGCTTAGCAACGTTCCTGGCTTCTTCCCAATAGATGCCAGTAGTGCCCATCCCCCTGGAGTTGAAACAAAATGCCTCTAGACTTTGCCAAGTGTCCTTAGTGGGAAAATTGGCTCCCTGTTGAAAACCACAGTCCTAGAGCAGCCTTAAAAAACAAAAACAAAGAGATACAGTTAATAAGCCAATAGTGAAGATAATAGCAATGATAACATTTTCAAAAGGCAAGAAAAAGAAGAAAA